GTCGGGGTCTCAGTCTGCGTCAGTGTGTCGGGGTCTCAGTCTGCGTCAGTGTGTCAGGGTCTCAGTCTGTGTCAGTGCGTTGGGGTCTCAGTCTGTGTCAGTGTGTCGGGGTCTCAGTCTGTGTCAGTGTGTCGGGGTCTCAGTCTGTGTCAGTGTGTCGGGGTCTCAGTCTGCGTCAGTGTGTCGGGGTCTCAGTCTATGTCAGTGTGTCGGGGTCTCAGTCTGTGTCGGTGTGTCGGGGTCTCAGTCTGCGTCAGTGTGTTGGGGTCTCAGTCTGTGTGGGTGTGTCGGGGTCTCATTCTGCGTCAGTGTGTTGGGGTCTCAGTCAGTGTCGGTGTGTTGGGGTCTCAGTCTATATCGGGGTCTCACCTTCATGGCGGCTCGGGAGCAGTCTGGGACGCCCTCACTGTACTTTCCCGTGATCAGGCCGCAGGCCAGTGGGGACCAGGTCATCGCGCCCACCCCTGGCAGCAAGACAGACAGACACACAGGGTGACAACGGCTTCCGGAGCCTCCCACAGCGCCGGCGCCCTCGCCCACGGCACAGCCACCCACCGATCTTATGGTAGAGCTCAGGCAGCTGCACCTCCACCTTGTCCCTCTGGAAGTAGTGATACTCCGCCTGCTCGCAGACCGGAGGGATCAGATTGAACTGCCGCGCCACGGAGTACGCCTCCTGGTGGTCGGAGGGAGAAACACAGTTTAGCACAGCCAGCGATGGCAGTGGTGGCAAAAATAAAACCAAAGAGAGATTACAGACGAGATCAGAAGATAAGACAAGACTCTGGTTCTGTAAGACAAGACTTTTATTGCTTATAAGACCCTGATCATCCTATATAAGACAAGATCCAGTGCTTATAAGGCACTGATTTTCTTATAAGAAAATTATAAGACTATTATAAGGCTCTTGCGTACAAGACTGATCATCTTATAAGATGAGACTCCTATTGCTTAAAAGACCCTGATCATCTTATATGACAAGACTCGTATTCCCCAGGATACGTACAGCAAGGCATCTTGCATCCTGTTAAACAAGTGTTCGACTGATGACAGCACGCAGTGATTTCACTCTGGGCGAACAATGATCGGGTATTATTATTGAGCAACGTATCTGTTCAGCTATAAATTGTAACTAAACTCTGGTCTTTCAGAAGTGAAAGGTTTAATGAATCACAGTTCTACTGTCCCAGTTGTTTTGAAAGTGATGAATTAATGATGATCTATAATCCCTGCAGCAGTGGCACTGGAAACCTCTGGTACATAAAACAACACAATAGTACAGAGAAACCTTTCCAATATCCTCCTGCCTTTCTGGCCAGACCCTGACTCCTCAGTCACACTAGATTGCAGGTCCTCAGGGGCCAGGAGGAGTCCCTGCAGAATTTGGAATGAAAGGCCAATACAGTGGCACCCCCTTGTGGCCAGAGACTGCATATGCACTCTTTGCAGCTGTTGTCAGATTTGGATCACTCAGCAGATTCAGTCCAGATTCGACTGGCTTATCGTTCAGCTGGACCAGAACAAAGCACAGATCACAAAAAGCTCAAGCTCTCCCCAGTAAGCCCAGTGTGGTGCTTTGGTCTCACCATGATCTCCATGGCACTCCAACGGGAGGTGCCCCAGTACATGGCCATGCCCTGGTTGATCACGAAGGTCATGGCCCGCACCACCTCTGAAACAGACATTCACACAACACTCTTACCACAGGGGTATAGCATACAGCAGTACCATCTGTGCTGTAACACCAATATTTACTCCTTCGATAACTGACTTCAAGAAACACTGTATGGCTGATTAATTGACACAATGAATAATACACACTGACTGACCTTCCATCGGGCTGTTGGCATCAGTACGGTTGGCAAACACAATGTCCACATACTCCAGTTGCAGCCTGGACAGTGATCCCTTCAGCCCTGTAGACAGCAGTTCTGTGTCAGTTCACACTCCCAACACAAACACTCACCCCACTGGTGTACAAGAGAACATGTGCCCATTACAGTCCCTCTCCTCTCACACTCCCCCTGAATTCACCAGCACACACACACAGTAACACCTGACTGTACTGTAGACACTGCTAGAGCCACTGCTGTCCCTCTCCTCTCACACTCCCCCTGAATTCACCAGCACACACACACTGTCACACCTGACAGGACTGTAGACACTGCTAGAGCCACTGCTGTCCCTCTCTTTACACACACAGTTTTAATGTTTAAGATGTAACATAGGTTGAGACTTGTTACCTTCAATGATGTGCTTCCTGGACAGTCCTCTCTCTGTCTCCGCCCTGGTGGACAAAAGAAAATATGTTAATAATTTGTATTAACGTATTTTGTTGTTAGTGAACTTCATAGCAATAATGATATTCACATCATATCCACATATGTATCATTGTAAATGTATATTTGGATACAGCAACAGTATACTAGCCTAACAAGTTCTTCATTAATGCTTTGTCTCTTGTTTGAATACCTACATGGATACTTAAAATAACATTTTATAATTAAAACAAATGTTTTGTCCTTGTATTTTTGAGATCCAGGTTGCTAGTGAAGAAACATTGCTTTTTCTGAAGTGTTTATGAAGTTATTCACAGATGCTGACAGCTGAACAAAGAGCTAATGTTTCAATAGATTGGCTGTTGTATTCATCAGAGACACTCATGTCCACTGTCTATTCACCCTGGGACTCTGCACAGAGCCTGACAGGAGAACAGGTGCTAACTTCAGTAAATTATCCCTGGTCATCACCTGCAGAATCCTAGGCACAGTTAGCAACTGCCTTACAGGCTGAGCCATGTTCATGAATACAGTAGCAGAGAGGTGGGTTAGGAAAGGGGTGATTTCCTAATCTCGGTTTTCAGTAAGTACAACAGTTGCGGACTTACTGTCCTCCCCAGTAAATCTTGGTGGTGACCACGAAACTGGAGCGCCTGCGAAAGGGAGAGAGAGATTCACACATGGAACAGCGGTGCTGTGAACTGGGACACAGACACAGAGAGCCAGACTGTGGGAGTGGGGCCCTGGGCCCAGATGAGTCCAGATGAGTCCAGCAGTGTTCATGTGTGCCAACATGTGCATGATTAAAAATCACAGAGACCCCTGTAGCTTGTTTGGGTAGAATCAGGCGTTATACACTAATAATACTAATAAAGCAGGGAAAGGTGCATCATTTCAAGTGATTCTGTGTGTCAGTCTGTACCTTGAGCTCCAACAGTGAATGTCCCAGGCACACAGCCTTTCCCTAGGCCATGGAAAGTCAGATATTCTGATGGTTTCAATCATTTTCTTTAGGGCGGGAAAGTGCTGTGTCTGTTAGAATGACAGTTTCTCAGCCTCTAGTCCTCGGCTTGAGTCTGGACTGGGGTACCTTCTGTGAGGAGTGTGCATGTTCCCTGCATGTCTATGTAGGTTTTCTCCAAGTGCTACCGTTCCTTCTCACAGTCCAGAGACAGGATGGCCAAGAGGCGGTGTGTGTGTGTGTGTGTGTGTGTGTGTGTGTGTGTGTGTGAGTATACGTCTGCGTGCGCGCCTTGCGACGTAGTGGCGTCTGATCCAGGAGTCTTCCCGCCTCGCTCCCAGTGTTTTTGGGATGTGCCGTGAACCTCAGTGGGAATAATCGGCTTTCCGATAAGGAATGGATGGATCGGTCGGTTTTATTACCTCCATCCTTTCTTCTTGATTATATTCCCCAGGGTGACTTCAGCTCTAGAGAGAGATGGACAGGGAGGAGAGAGAGAGAGTGGGTGAGAAAACGGGAGAGCAGAGAGGGGGAGAAAGACTGTGAAGCCACCACTCTGTCTGACGCTTCATACACTCTGACACCATAGGGCTACAGATGTTGCTTTGTCCTTCACCAACAGTAAATCCTACAGTTCTGCCTCCCAGCACTAGATGGCAGTATAGTATAACCTGTCCCCTATTCCCCCTGGAAGCAAGCTTACAGCCGCTCAGATAGGATACTGAATTAATCGTGCAGTTAACCGAGACTGTGCCGGGGGCAGACTCACCTCCCAGAGGCGTACACCTCCGCCGTGTCAAAAAGATTCACGCCGCTCTCGTACGCGATTGTCATCAGGCTCTCCGCCATCTGCACAACAGACAGGGCGGACTGTCAGAGAGTCAGTGTTTCTGTCAGTACGTCAGTCAGTGTCGATGTGTCAGTCAGAG